GGCTCCCGGGCGCGGGTGTCCTCGCGGGGCCCGGCTCCCCTGAGCGCGGAGGAGATCTGATGCGCTTGTGGTCGCGTTCCTCCTCCTGGCCTGTGCGCCTCGGGGCTGGAGGTGTGACTCCCCGCCCGGCCCGGACACCTGTGGGGGCGGGGCGGGGCGGGCGGCTGCGGCGCGAGGGACGGGTCCGGGCGTCCCCTCTGCGAGACGCCGTCGCAGCGATGCTCTCCAGGAGAAAAGGAACAGGAATCACGGGGAAGTTCCCGGCTTATTTTTCATAATGCAGTTTACTGTCTTTTATCTTTTGCTGAAGCAGGAGATGTGATACATATTTTTGCATAGAAGTTTACGTGCTCAAGACACTTGTACTGTTTCTGACACTTAGAAGTGAATTACAGAAATGTACGAGTTTTGTGGTGTTCCTGTGTAATTCCTTAATATATATTTTAATAATACTGATTAGTTTTAGTATTTTACCAGGTATTAAATTCATTCAGGTTATTTAAAAATCCATTTCCGGGCCATGTTGAGTCTAGGTGGTTCCTGGTTCAGCCAGAGAATCACTTCTTTGTAAGAGTCTGATCCTGCCGCCAGAGGAGCGTGGTAGCTCACAGAGATTGGTACAAACAGTGCTCAGTCCTGACTTGGGGGTAACTCTTCATTCCTTTGTGTTGACTGCTCCATATATTTTGGGGAGGATAACAAAGACATCATCTTTATCCTGCCACTTATGCCCTTCATATTAATACATAATTCTGTTTTATCCCTAATTTGTCACACAACATAATGCATTTTTACTTATTCTGAGTTATTGAATTTTTTTCAGTTTATTGACTTTTTACTAACTGAGAAGTACCACTGACAATACCTGGAAGAGCCACTGATTTTCTGTTTATAATGTAGTATAGTTATAGCAAAAGGATTTTGTGTTTGTTTTTCCTGAGAATGCTGTTTATCTCTGATACAGGATTTTGCTTTTTCAGTGCTTCAGCACCAGTGTTATCCCTCTATTATTATATAGTACTCCAGAAGGAAGGTTTTTTCCTTGGTGCTTAAGTTTTGTATATTGAGATTTTCTTCTTGATTGGTTTTATATAGTGAAAATTTACTAAGCTGAAAAACATGATTTCATTTCTTTTGAACTGTAAAATCCAAATAAGCAGGCTAGTTTCAATTGCTTAGTATCTGTCTGATGATTTTAGACATAAATCTCAGGTCTGTGCTTCCTGATGCTTTTGGAAATTGGGTAACTATTACACTTGAAGTGTAGAGGACCCAGAGAGAAGGGAATTGACAATGAGGATATGCCTTGAGGATATTTAACTACATATTGGTTTGCAGTTAACTTAATCCTTTCATGAGAAATGTTTTGCTGAATAGACATATTTGTGAAAAAAGTGTTGACTGTTGCTGTCTACTGTGCCATTGAATTAAAGATCTATGTATAAAATGTATGTAAATTTGTCCACTATGTACATGTACTGTAACTACCAGGAAACATACTTGATATTTCTTTGAATTACCAATGTATATCATTTTCTCACATTTTAATTACATCAGATCTGTACAGTATGTACAGTATTTTCATTATTTTAACACAGAGCTTTACTGATGTTTTTATTCCTTGTTTTGTTAAAAGGAAGGTTTGTTGTTTTGTTTAGAAGTTGACAGCAGTCGTCTTAGCAGTAATGAGGCTATGTATTATGAAATTTAATGTATTGTTATGCATTTCTCTCAGATCCTTAGGCACGTTGATTATTGATCATGAGACCTTTACTGTATGCTGACTTTTTATCTGTTCCAGCAGTAATGAAATTCTGATATATAAGGGAAATATGTTACTGCTTGTAGATCTGGGGAATAATTGAATCTTTTTGTCTCTTTGGAATGGCTGGGAGAGTTATATACTATATCATTAAAGGCTGCTTCATGTGTAAATTAAAAGGGAGACAACATTACAGCACTTATTACTATTCCAAGTTATGTTTAATTCATTTTTGACACAAAGTTGAAGTCTATGCAGTGTGGACTTTGTTATAGAAATTAATGAGAGGTGTATCTCAGTGCCATTGAATAGAAAGTTTTTTTCTAATTTAACATTATAATTACTTGTTTTTCCTTTTACTAACTTGTGAGATGCACATATGTAGTGTAATATGATTATCTATAGTTCCTACCCCCATTATGAGACTATTTATTGGAGCTAAAAATGAGCCTGTAAATCAAGGTATGATGAGGACTTGTCATAAATGCACACCTATCTGTGCATTTTAGAAAGTGAAGTTCTGGGGCTGGAGATGTAGCTCAGAGGTAGAGCACTTTCCTAGTTTATTGTAGGCCCTGAGTTTGATCCCTGACATTGCAAAATAGAAGTTCTTTAAGCATTTTATGATTATTATCTGATGTCCTCCATGAAGATAAATTTGAGGTCCTATTCTAAGCTAATAGTGTGCTATTTTACTAGTATTGTGAATTTTTCATACATTACCTTTTTTTTGTTGTGGTTTTTTTGAGATAGGGTCTTGCTATGCAGTTCAGGCTGGCCTTGAGCTCATTTTGTAGCCCAGGCTGGTCTCAAACTTACAGTGATCCTCCTACCTCGGCCTCCCAAGTGCTGGGATTACAGGCATGCACCACCACATCCGGCAGTTATCTTAATTCTCATAAAGCCTATGAGACAACTACTATTATTATTCCCATTTTATAGGTGAGGAAACAGGAAAAAAAGTAACTTGCCCCAAGTCATCAAGATACTAAGTGGCAGAGCTAAAATCTTATCCCTTTAAGTTTTCATTGTTGTTAATTTCTTATTAGAGATAAATCCCATTGCACAGATTAATTTGGTAATCCTTTTAAGTTCGGGGGATCCTGTATTCATTGTTTATCCTTTGTCTCTCTATACTAAACTCTTGTCCTGGAATTAATTTTAGAAATTTGCATTCTGAGGTGGACTATAATAAATAGCCTCATTTTCCTGACCTTCTCTGGACCCTACTATTTCTTAAGAATCACTGCACAGTCTTTTGAAGGCATAATGATGTGTCTTATCTCCTTTTCATTTCTCAGATGCCCCTCCCATCTTCCATTCTTCAAGTTTGTTTTGCTTGTTGTGTAGTGAAATCTTGCCTAATAGTCTGTGACTTCTAGAACATCAGATTCTACGGCCAGTTTTTAGCATCATCTCTGTCTTTTTTTTTTTTTTCCTGAGACAAGGTCTTACTCTGTAGTCCAGGCTGGCCTTGAATTCACTACATAGCCCAGGGTGCCCTTGAACTCACGACAATCTTCCTGCTCCAGCACCCCTAAGTGCTGGGATTGCAGGAGTACATTACCATGCGAAGCTTAGTGTTACCTCTTGGAGTTATGTTTTATATTTGCTCAAGACAGTAATTTCTTATTTGAAATTCTCTTTCATCTTCATGATGTAATACTAGAATTTTCCTCAAATTCCTTTGGCCACTCTTTTTTTTATTACTAAGGGTTTTTCTTTCTTTTTATACCTACCCTTTTTTATGGTTTTTCTTGGGCTACCTGTGCAGTCCTCTCCCTGCTCTTACTTTTAGTTACAGTTTAAGTGCTGTGTATCCCAAATTTCTATCTCTGAATTGTTTTTGTTTAAGAAAACAATTTGCTGAGTATCTGTGTGTAGATGTCTTAAAGCACTTAGAGATCCCAAGCAGAATTCACCTTTAAATCATTTTCAACCACAGGTTTCCTTCTGGTGTTGACATTATTTGATTTTTGTCCTCTAACTTCAACTAATTATGAAGTCACTAATTATCAATTCTTGCTTTTCTTGACACCTAAATATGTGATACATACAATCTTCATCTACACTGCAACTCATTGCTGTAATAAAGAATCTACTTACTTTGCAATGTACTCAAGCAGTGGTGGTGAAACCATCACATGCATGGTACAGCTGGCTGTTTGTTACCATTGAAAGCTCTGAAAGGTTTGCCATCACTGTACTGTATCATCTTTCTGCTTTTCTTTCCCGAAGCTTCATAATCCTTAGATCTTTTATTCAGAAAATTGCATGATTAATGTGCCTAAAAACCACACTGACTATCCTGCTCCTCAGTATAAACCTCTTCATTGAATCTCTGGTACCAGGAGGATCAAGAATGAGTTTTTAGTAATGCATGCATGGCTATCTTTGATCTGCCTGTTGTCCTTGCGAACCACGTCTCTGGATATTTTACAGTCCAGCAGTAATGCTTTTCTATTCGTCAGTATACTATATAACATTCTCTTTTTCACCCTGACACATTTTTCTTACGCCCTTATGTCTAGAATTTTTGTTTTCCTTTTTTGTAGTTAATATGTACTATCTCAGGTCTTCTTCTTTTCCAGGAAGTCTTTCTAATGTGGTCTAAAACTGTGTACCATGCTCCTTGTGTTCCTGTGTACTCACTAGAACCAGCATGGATTCTTCTCATTTCCAGTGTTGGATTAGGCTTTGTTATGGTTGATACATTGTGTCAATTTGAGTGTAGAGGCTTGGCTAAGTGACTCAGCAGGTCTACATCCTGAGCCTCTGCGAAAGGAGAGGGTAGAGATGGTGTGGGTGTGGGCGAATAGCCAAGACACAGTATAAGGGAGGGAAAGAGGCTTGCACTTTCCACCCTTTTACCCTGTTCCCCCCTTTTACTCTTGCTGCTTTTGCTGTCTTCTGCCGCCTCAAACTGTTGCCCTCTGCCATGTACCACTCTGCCTTGGAGCCGGCCAAGTATGGACTGAAGCCTCCACAAACAGAGCTAAATAAACCTTTCCTTCCTTAATTCTAGGTGTTGGGTATTTTGTCTCAGCAAGTAGAGAAAAGTAACCAAGACAGGCTTATTTTTTTCTCCTATATTCCATACTGATTTCAGTCTTAGAATACATTAAA